GCAGAAGAGCTTTCGGTTGTTGGTTTGCCATGGATTAGAGCTGGATTTTGGTCTCATTGAGAAAAATTTGACGGAATTTAAAATGTTGTTGAATTTAATTTGAATAAAATTTCCTAAAAAATATACAGTTATCCTTTAACAGCAAGTTTTGCAATATTCATAAATAAATTTCTGTACGAAAACAAAAAAAATATTGAGAAAAGAATTCTGATTAAAAATGTTATTTTTCAAGTCAGCACATTGACATTCTTTTATAAAATTGAATTAATATATAAATTTAATATAATTACAATGAACTGCACTCGATTTCAGATTTTTGATTTATGTATGTCGAAAATTAAATGCCAAATTCCAAAATCGTACTATCCAGCTCCAGTCCATATTTCAGTTTTATACATTTTTAATAAACTCTGTAAATTATTTTTATTTAATTTTTAAGTATTTATCATAGAATAATGGATATATCCAAGGAAGCACTTTTTTCTTCGCGGAAGGAAGGATAAGTGGTTGGAATTTAAAAAAATATTTTCACCTGCATGAAGGATAAGTAATTTTCAGATCATTCCATTAATTTAGGTCCTCATATGGAAATGTTTTCTCTACATCTTCAAAATACGCCGAAATGCCTCATTGACTTGAAGGAAAGTGTCTCATTTATGTCCATTAACCTTCCGGAAGAGGCCTAGTATTAGGTGTAGGTCCATCATTTTTCATTATTGGACTGAAGGGTGGATGCCTTGAAACATTGAAGCCCACCTTATGCCGGACAGCCCATACAACGCGGCTGTTGTTTTAACGGAGGCGTGCGCATTTTCGGCACACATCTTTCACTGGCTTTAGACATACCAAGATGATCGTGCAGTATCTTAAAAATGGTTGTAACGGATACTCCAATTTCTGCGAGTTGTTTCTTCTTTAGTCGCTCCTATGTACTATTGTGAATGATCAGCGCTTTAAGCCCGCAGAAATGATTTTCGGCCGATTTGTGACATGCGGCTTGATGTTTTTCCAACATATCTGGGGATTTAGAGTGTATTTTAAGCCATATTCGATGGAATTTTATGAGAGCCTGTAATTTGGGGAATTTCTTTCTAAGATTTGATATTTTCCTCCCATGATCCACCGCATGGTAGGTAGTACGCACTGTGAACCATTTGGCTAATGCGGTCTTCATAATAACGACTGAAAATTTGTGACGATCGACACTTGCAATCACAATCAGAGAGCGCAAAGGAGCGCATAATGCGGGTTATATAAAGATCAAAAAAGATTTCCATCACAATAATATTTTTAACTGGATTTCCAGCTGTTATATCGTGTAGTTTCTTCGTGGCGTTTCGTTTTATCATCTTACCTGTATTCTGAATCGCCATCCGCAATTTTTAGGGTATAACAGGATCTTGTAGAGTTGATATACTTCCCATGAGGCAGATTAAAATTAAAATTATGTTTCGGATTTTTCACTTGGGTGACTGGATTGACCTTGTTCACGAAACATGTTGTTGCGTCGACAGTTCTCCATGTGCTAACCTCGAACGGGTCTCGTTGAAAAGGTGAGAAATCTGGCTACACTACCACTACTTTGTCAACTTGACGAAAATAAAATACCTCCGGCGGTGAGAGCCTCAGTACCTCTTACTTTCTGGATATGCCCCACACATAGAAATTTTTCACATGGGAGCTTTACTTTTCTTGCAAAATAATGAACTTTTTCCCATAACGAGTGTAGTGGGTGTCCGAAGCATTTTCGCATGTGATAAATATATTATATTTAAAAAAGCAACATGGCCACATTTCTTATTAAACAGAAATTCCCAATGATTAAGCACTTTAAAGATAGAAAAAGCATTCATTAAATTCATAAAAAAAAGTCTACAATTTCCAACTAAAAAGACTAAAAAGGAAAAACAACATTTTTGTACAGCACAATGGCACGGTTGAAAGGCAGAAAGCATAAATATTTTGTTGTCGCTGGTGAAGAGGCGTCGGAGACTGGGCAACAGTGAGATTAATACTTACTCGTCACTACAGCTGAAACAAAAACAAGAACTAGAAAAAATACTCCTGCAAAGAACTGTTTCATTTCAAATGCAACAACGAAGAGGAACATTGGCAATCAGCTAAAGTATAGTATTATTCATTTTGTGGCTTCGAAAATAAACGTAAATGAAATGCATTTAAAAAATTGTTTCCCTTGAAATTACTTTCTTATTATAAAGTTAGAACCTTCGCATTATACAGCCTTGGCCAAAAGTATTAGGCAGCCCACTAATTACTGGATTTTATGTTTTAACAAGTAAAGTAACGAAGTTTTATTAGTAAAACAGTGAAAATGCAATGAATTAGTGATAATAACATTAATATTTAGTAGGTCCAACCTTCGATTTAATAACGGCAGCAGTTCTCTGAGGCATGCTGCGTACAAGCTTTCACACATTCCAGCGTACTACTCTTTAATTAAGACATTCTTTAAGGCAGTTTTTGATGTTATACTGTGTTCCTTAATCTGGCGTTTTAAAATTGCCCACTTGTGCTCAATTGGATTAAGATCTGGAGACTGTGCAGGCCAATCTAACAAAACAATGTTGATATCTCTAAACCAACGCATCGTAGTCGGTGGTCGGTGACAAGGCGCTTTGTCTTACTGAAATTGCACCCCGTCTAAATATGCGCATTAACGAAGGCAGAAGAGCAGCTTCTAATACATTTATGTACATTTGACTGTCCAAGCGACGCTCGCAGCCATGAAGCCCCAGATCATAATGCTGCCTCCTCCATACCTAACAGTGGGTTCCACGCAATCAGGATGATATTCTTCCTCAACCCGTCACCTCACGAATGTCACACCAGGTGTTCTAAATATCTATAGAGAAGAAAAAAAAATATTTTCATAAGATTTGTATTATGTCTTCAAAATTGCTCTAGGATAATAGGGTAAGATGCTTTGGCTGTTAATACTTTAAGACGATCTTAACTAAGCTTACCTCGAAGTTTGATTCAACAGACCACAGGACATTTGACCAATCTTCTTTCGTGAAATGTTGGTATTGGCGAGCCCATTCCATTCGAACACGAACTGGTTTACTAAATTCTTCAGAAAGGGCAGGTGCAAGGACAGGAAAAAATTTTTTGCGATCCTTGAGAGACTCGCGTATATGTATACGGTCTTCTCGTTTACTGAATAGACGCTTTCTTCCACTTTTTGATTTATTATTGTGGGATTTCGTCTCTACAAATCGCCTGATATCGCATTGGACCGCGTACCGCGAACATCGCACCAAATTGACAATCTCAACCTGAGACTTACCTTCTTCACTTAGAACTTGAATTCTAACTCTATCATCGTAACTAATTTCACTTTTTTAGGCATTTCGGTAAATGTAAACTGTTTTTATAAGATTGATAACTTTTCAAGGCGAGAGATTGCGCGGCATGGAAAGTTCTCTTGTAATAATGGCATATTCACTCGTGTTGTGTGGCATGTGGGACCATCTTGTTGAAACCACATATTTTGTCGTTTTCTTCATTCGCAGACCGTTGTCATTTTCGGACCAAAGAGCGCGCCAGACAGTCAATTTCTTTGGGGTGTAATGGCCTGTATTCAATTATTTTAAGATACTCAAAGCTTTTTTCGTATCCCCCGAAATCACGAAACGGATAACCCTATTCAACATATGATATTCCCATTCATTCAGGCACACACCTCACCAAAAGGTTCTACGTATGGGTGCGCATACATATATGTATGTTTATATTGTATTTGGCATAAAATGCAATGATGAGTGCAGCGAATCGAGAGAGTGGCAGCAGCCAGCTTCATGGTTATCAATTGGCACTTGATTTGCTATTCACTTGATCAAATGATAGAAACTGCATTGTGAACTTACAATAACAATCTTTATGTATGTATGCATGCATGCATGTGTGTGTGTGTGTACTTTTACACCTAGCCACGGCCATGAATCGAATACCAGAATTTTATGAGCCTTAAAGCCCTGCTGGAATTAAGGATAACTCGATCCTTTCAGTTTAGAATTTTCCATTTTCTAAGAAGTCAAATTGCTTTTACACGTTATTAACAATGTCGTCATGGCTTATATACGTCCCTGTGTATCAGCGAGTTCCAAATGGGGCTGTTTTTTTTTTTTTTTTTTTTTTTTTTGACTTATAGAAGTTTTTAGGTATGCCTAAGTGTTCAACCATCCATTCAAATTTGAATGTTAAACATTTATTTGTGCCCTTTTGCACCCATTATTGTTATGTAAAAGCTTAGTGTTGAACAAATAGAGCACACCGTTAAATGAAGTGGAACAAACAGTGGCGTGTGCGACTCCCTACGCAACAATACTCAGCCATGAAAATTATTTGAATGGTTTTCATATTTATGATCGTTTGGGTAGGGCAAATCGCAAAGATAGCTGAATATTAATTATCATTTCCACATATGGCTATGAAGTGTAGTCAGACGTAGATGTGCTGTTTGAGGCCTATAGTGAGGTCATTTACTGCGTAGCACTCGCTTTAAGGGAACTAAGTAGAGGTCTAAACAATCCCTTCATGTTAGTTGAAAACTCTCTTATTAGTATAGTTCGGGGAGTCAAGACTTGATTCACACCTGGTCAATAGGTCAAAGCATCTCATTCTCCTAGGCAACAGGTCGATTGCTGCACCTACTTATAGGGCAGGTTTCGTTCCACCTCACCGCGTTCTGAATTTATGCCTAAAAAAATGTGCCTTTTTTAACCCGAAATGTACGAGTAACTAAGATTTTTGTTATTAATTCGAATCCAACGCTGTTTAGTAGAGTTTGTTTTTCGCATATTAAAGGAATGGAGCCTTCATAAGTCTACCGAATTCGACGATTTTAGTAATTAAAATTAATGTTAGCGTCAAATTGTTTTTGAAATCTGCAAATCATTGTCTCTCATTTTCCCAACTAACCTAGTATTTACTCCTGAACAAACAAATGCCTACATTTTCTTCTTTTCGTCCCATTGCAGAAGCACTGCGACAATCTCGTCCGTTGCCACACATTCCCGCGGGCACAACTATGTTGCCCGATGCAGATTTACAATGCCAAGATGGCGGGTCACTGCACACACAAAGTCACAGTCAAGGCCACAGTTCAGCCACTTCCGGTTTCGAATCGGCACATCGTTGGACATCCAAAGAAAATTTGTTAGCACCCGGTCCGGAAGAAGATGATCCGCAATTATTTGTAGCACTATATGACTTTCAAGCGGGTGGCGAGAATCAATTGAGCCTGAAGAAGGGTGAACAGGTGCGCATTTTGTCGTACAACAAGTCGGGCGAATGGTGTGAAGCACACTCAGACTCGGGCAATGTGGGTTGGGTGCCATCGAACTATGTAACGCCGCTGAATTCGCTCGAGAAACACTCTTGGTATCATGGACCGATATCGCGTAATGCTGCCGAATATTTGCTCAGTTCGGGCATTAATGGCAGTTTTTTGGTGCGCGAGAGTGAAAGTTCACCCGGACAAAGGAGTATTAGCTTGAGGTGAGTACTGTGCAGAAGTTTTTGCTAGATTTAATTTGCAATTTCCCAACCTCTCTTTCCCTTTCTCATTTCCTGATAGATATGAAGGTCGTGTGTATCATTATCGCATCTCCGAGGATCCGGATGGTAAAGTTTTTGTCACAGCGGAAGCCAAATTTAACACACTCGCCGAACTTGTGCATCATCATAGTGTACAACACGAAGGGCATGGGTTAATAACGCCACTACTTTATCCGGCGCCCAAGCAAAATAAACCGACCGTTTTCCCACTCAGTCCCGAACCGGACGAGTGGGAAATCTGTCGCACGGACATTGTGATGAAGCATAAGTTGGGCGGCGGCCAGTACGGTGAAGTGTACGAGGCCGTTTGGAAGCGTTACGGCAATACTGTGGCTGTGAAAACGCTCAAAGAGGATACAATGGCACTCAAGGACTTTCTCGAAGAAGCGGCAATAATGAAAGAGATGAAACATCCAAATCTTGTGCAACTAATTGGTGAGTTTCAATTAAGTAACACACATTGAACGGTGTGAGTTCTTTGAAAATGTGTGTATTCCATATTTCTACCGTCCGTTATATTAATATGTTGATTCGTACGTTTTGCTCCTTACAGGCGTTTGCACCCGTGAACCGCCCTTTTACATCATCACCGAATTCATGTCGCACGGCAATCTTTTGGATTTCTTGCGTTCACCTGCTCGTGAAACGCTCGACGCTGTGGCACTTCTCTACATGGCAACGCAGATAGCTTCCGGCATGAGTTATTTGGAATCACGTAATTACATACATCGTGATTTGGCGGCACGTAATTGTCTTGTGGGCGATAATAAACTTGTTAAAGTTGCCGATTTCGGTTTGGCGCGCCTCATGCGCGATGATACGTATACAGCGCATGCTGGTGCCAAATTTCCCATTAAATGGACTGCGCCAGAAGGTTTGGCGTACAATAAGTTCAGCACTAAGTCGGACGTTTGGGCATTCGGCGTTTTGCTATGGGAGATCGCCACATATGGCGCTTCACCATATCCCAATATTGATCTCACCGATGTATTTCATAAGCTTGAGAAGGGCTATCGCATGGAGAGGCCGCCGGGTTGTCCACCGGAAGTTTACGATTTGATGCGTCAGTGTTGGCATTGGAATGCGGCGGATCGGCCGACATTCAAGAGTATACATCATGCATTGGAGCATATGTTTCAGGTGGGTGAGGTGTGGGATGACAATGGTGACAGTGGTGAATTTTGTGAAGATTATGATGAAGAAGATGAGGAGGAGGAAGAAGAGGAGGAAGATGATAATGAATACGATGATGATGATGATGATGATGATGACGATGATGGCGTTGAACTTTGATGTGATCGTAACGGCAATCGTGGGTACAAATGTGCCAAAGCAACAAAAAATATGGCCACTGCAGCCAACATGTTGCTAACCACTGTATCCGATACGTTGAATGACGCTATTGTTGTAGAGCCTCAAAATAGATATAGAAAAATTCATGAAAATCAAAATGATGATGATCATAAAAAAATAGCTATGAACATGAAAATTCGTTGTAAGAACAATAATAATAATGGACGACCACGTCTCGTTTTCTTCGATCTGCAGGAATCATCAATTACTGAGGCGGTCGCGAAACAATTGAATGCCACAACGATGACACAGAGTCTTACGCCACAAATGGGTAAAAAGGGTATACCGGCGAATGGTGGCGGCGGTGGCAGCAGCAGCGGCGGCGGCGGTGGTGGTGGCGGTGGCGGTTTGACACCGAGCGGCGGTCTACACGAGCAACCAGCAGGCACGCCAATGTCGGGTAAATGAATTAATAATAATATAAATAATAATCACTAATTAGTCAATCGTTTTCCAACATCTAGAAACTGGTTCCACTTCTACAAAATTGAGCACATTCTCAAGTCAGGGTAAAGGCAATGTACAAATGCGCCGCACCACCAACAAACAAGGCAAACAAGCCCCAGCGCCACCCAAGCGTACGAGGTACGTATGCAATGTCCTTATTTGTATGCTTCCATACATATATAAGAAATTACTTATTTATGATTTTGTTACAGTTTACTATCGACCAGCCGCGATTCTACGTATCGTGAGGATGAATCACGTAATCTCATTGATGAACACAATACAAATGGTAGTAGCATCTTTTTCAACCTACAGCAACAACTACAAAAACAACTGCAAAAGCAAACTCCAATACAACCACAACCATATAACGTTGTACCATCCACAAACCCAAACAATAACACTAATAAACGTTGCAAAACGAATTCTTATACTTTGTGTACTACACCACCTCCTCCCCAATATTCTATAAAGAAATCATCCTCTTGCAGTAGTTTCCTAATCGATATACTCTTTCGAGGTATTTCACACCTGAGTAAGATTATTAAAACATATCCTTTGTGTTGTTTTTGTATACTTTTTTGTTAATTGTTATATTGCTAATTTGTTTATTTAAATGTTTTCGTATAATTTTTGGGACTTGGTTTTTGAATTTTGTTTATGTACTAAGTAATGAATAGGTAATTTATTTATTTTTTTTTTGTTGCTTTTTTTTTTAATCAACCTCCTTTACGACTTTTACATTACATGAATATTTTCTCTCAACAATACATTTTACTACTCTCTGCAGTTCATTACTCCGTTAATTTGTTTATCTGTCCTTGTGTTTGCCTTGCCTTATGTTTCTTTATTCTGTTTTATTGTTCATTAAGTTTGTAATTAATATTTATTACTTACTTACTAACACTTTTTCAAATAAATACTTATTCTAATTATCGTTAATTATGTAAATTATACAGGGTTGCAACGGAGATAATTTATGTAAGTAATATGTTAGCTTCTCACTTCAAGTTGCGCCAAAATTAGTACAAATGAAAAAAGTATCAGAACAAAATCAATTACTGCATGCCTGTACCCCTTTGGATTGGACTCGACGTTCGTTCGATAACTTGTGTATCTTGAAGTGAGTCTGCCAGCTATTTGTCTCGCCTTCCAGCAGCTCACCCTGTATAAACGCATATAGTTATGTATGAAAATCTAACTCTGTTTTATTTGCTTTCTGCTACCACATTCATTTCCATTTGAATAATCTTACTGCCTGGTTGCTGGTCCTCCATCCAAACTAAATGCTAATGTCGCCCCTAAAAACGAACGCATCCACCTAATCTACGCATTGCTCTACTCTGCATATAAATGCAATATAAAGAAGCTCTCAAACACACTTACTAACAGTTATCATTTCTTTTTTTTTATCTTCTCTCTACCCGTTTGCTCCTCCAGGTCTCACACGAGATATGAATAGTCTGACACAGCGTTATGATTCTGAAAATGACAATACCACTGGCGATCCCGACACTGATGCCACCGGCGATAGTTTGGAGTGTCAAAACATGCCCACCAGTCAAAATAAACTCCCACATTCACTGCATAGCAGCGGCATTGGACCACGTTCTGGGCAACAGCATAGCTCATTTAAGCGCCCCACACCCGTTATGGGTAATCGTGGGCTCGAAACACGTCAAAGCAAACGATCTCAACACCAACAGCAACAACATGCGCCTCGTGACAGCAGCGCTGGCGCCTGTACCCCACATCATGTCACCGTTGGTGCGTTGGAAGTGAACAATGTCAAGTGTGTTGTCAACCGTTATGGCACACTACCGAAAGTGCAACGTATAGGCGCTTATCTAAATAGTTTGGAGGATCCGAATACGCCATCACAACACAGTATTACCACTCACCTCTCGACAATGTCACCTGTCGCCACCACAAATGGCCATGGCGTGCATGTAGCTGCAACACGTCAACAACTGCCACCAGCACATGTCATGCCATTACCACCACCAATGAAGTCAGCTGCCAACATTGCGCCTGCCATTCCAATACCACCACAGCAAATGTTACGCAGCAATTCGTCGAGCGGTGTCACTATGCAGAATAGCGCATCGGCGAGTTTAAACAAATTGCAGCGTCACCGTACTGCCGCTGATGGCACTATGATGACATTTTCCTCCTTTCGAGGCGCTTCCTCAAGCAATTCACCCAAACGCAGTCAGCAACCAGCATTAGCCAATTTGGAATTTCCGCCACCGCCACTGGATTTACCACCACCACCGGAGGAGTTTGAGACACCGCCGCCGCCACCACCGCCAGCACCCGCTCCGGAGGTGTTGGAAGAACTACAATCGGCAAGTGTAACTGCAACACAGTACCCACTACCAAATAGCAGTAATAATGATGTCTCTAACACCGCACCCAGCGTTGAGGAAGCCAGCACACGCTTTGGTGTATCGCTACGTAAGCGTGAACCATCGACAGATTCCTGCAGTTCGTTGGGCTCGCCACCGGAAGTATCGGCAAATGCCAATTCAGGCGGTAATGTGCAAGAGCTCAATATGAAGGAGAAATTAATGGCTGAAATAAAAGATCGTTCCAAAGAGAATTCGGCCAATAATGCAAATCTGCAAAATGGTATCATCATACCACCACCGCCAACAGGCAGTGGCGTCGATCCTGTTTCATTGTTATTCACAGAATTGGCTGAAATGAATTTGACGAAGCAAAAATCAACACCACCGCAGCCGCCAAAAGCACTTAGCGGTGGCAGCAGCGGCGACTCTGCCGGCTCGCAAACACAAACGCAGGAGAATGGCAATACAAACTCCTTTAAGGCACAGTTAAAAAAAGTCGAGCCAAAAAAGTTACCAACACCCACACAAAAGACCGAAAACCAAACGACGATCATCGATTTTAAGGCGCATTTGCGAAAAGTTGAAAAGGATCTGAAAGACACTAAGAAAGACGTAGGCACAGATGAAACGCCTAAGAGTATACTACAAAAGGGTCAAACGGTGAACTCAACAGGCACGCTAGGCCGCAAGGGAGATAAGAAATTCACCACAGCAACACAACAAAAGACTGAAAACAATACTAAACATGATATGACCAACAGCAATAATGGCAATTCCATAAGCACCGGAAATATCAACATTAATTCACCTGCTAATACCAATGGTAATACTCAACATATTGCAAATACCAATTCAAATATGAATTGCAACAACACAGCCAGAACCGCTGAGTTAGCCGATAATGACTCAGCAGCGAGCGTAAACGATAGTGAATCCGGCAAGAGACGCAGCACAGGTAGTATAAATAGTTTGAAGAAATTGTGGGAGCAGCCGAGCAGTGGTGCCGACTATGCAAGCACCCAAACACAGGCAAACTGCTCAGCAAATAGTGGCAACACTGGCACAACAACCACCACGAGCACCTCAAGCACCAATCAACTCTCACCAAAATTCTCTTTGAAGCCCATATTGAATGCTGCAACCACGCCCACAGCAAACTCAAATCGTTTTCCACCACTTAGCACTCAAATCTCACCACGTACCAATGCCATGAATGCCACAAATTCCATAGTGAATAAACCGCCACCAGCTGCACCACCACCACCGCCCCCAACTACCACAACTACCAACAGCACAAATAACCAAACCCAAAATCAGAATCAAAATCAAAATTCCATTTTCAACAATACCCATAGCACCAAATCCCAACTAACAACCTCTCTTTCTACACAACTATTCACAGATGGCAATCATCACTATGGTGAGCAAAGTACATCACTCACCAATAACTCATCCACCGCTAATACAACAACAGGAAGTAACACAACGACTAACAACGAAATTGCAGCAATGACACAATCACTTTTTGTAGAGCCTAGCAGTGCCGTAAACAAACTCACCACATCGAGCTTTCCTACAAACACTGCGCCCACTACTACTACGAATAACACCACGAATAATATTTCCACTACAAATAAACCTGCTGTGCCACTCAAACCCACCAAATTGACCATCTACGCCACGCCCATCTCCCAAAAGATCGCCGTCAATGCATTGGATAGCACCACAAACACACCAATCAGTAGCACGCTACAAAGTTCCACACAAATCACACGCGAAAGTATACTAGAACTTGTGGCACTGTTGGAGACTTCGCTGCTGCAACATCCGGTCAATTCGATCTCGGCCTCACAATGGCTACAATTAAGCGACAAACTCAACATACTACAAAATAATTGTGTAGTTTTCGCTGACAACGAAACAATGCCACCACATTCGAAATTTCACTTTCGCGAACTGGTGACACGCGTCGAAACACAATCGCAGAGTTTGCGCACTGCTGGCAGTAAAAATGTGCAAGATAACGAGCGTCTGGTCAGTGAAGTGGGTCAATCGTTGAAGCAACTAACAAATGCCTTGCATAGGTAAATATTATTAAAGCGGGAAACACGGTCGGGGGTAAACAATTACGGTTGTGCTGAAGATGGCATTGGGGAGAGGCAAGAGATACCGCCGCCATGGCGTAGCTGGCTGGACGCTGAGGGAAATTTTATAAAACGCAAATGAAAGTACGTGGTGGTAGTAGTAGCAGCGGTAGTGGAAGGGTGAAAGGGTTGTAGGTAAGAGGCGGAGAAGTCGAGAAGTTAAAGGCTTTAGTTTCCTGCTTGGGTATATATGTATATGGTACAAGCATATCATCTGTGTGAAGAAAACGATGGGATTTGAAAATGTGCGTGTGAATTCAGTAATTTGCTATTAAAAAAAAAAAAATACAAAAAAAAACAACAAACAACACTTATGAACTATAAAGACGTTTACGCTACAAAGGAAGGATATTAATATTTAATTTTAAAGTGTTTAGCAAGTTAATCCAAAACTTATACAAGTATATTTTCATGCAAGTATAACTATGTATTCATTAACTATTTAACCAAATCATAAACGTATATAAACTACTTAACTTCAAAAGAAGTGCAGGGTTCTAAATCCTAATCTGTAAGCGTATGATTTGATTAATTTTTTTAATACAAGGAAAACGCCGTTTATAACGCTAGTTGCTTATTGTGCTTGCGTAAACCCTGTATATATTTAAAGCATATAAAAAAAAAACATTTAAAAAAATATACAAAATCTAGTCATACAAGAAGAATCCAATTTAAATTGCTGTTAGTTGTAGACTTACCCTCACAATGAAATCAAGACATTTTTAACTAAATACTTGTACTAGTTACTAGCAGTAAACAACAACAATTATTCAAAGAAAAGAAACGAAAGTAAAAAAAAAAAAGAAAAATGTGAGCTTGGAAAATTGATAAAACTTGCATTGCGTACTCATTTACTAAGACTTATTTGTATTTTTAGATATTCCTATAACAATTTAATTACACATTAGTTTTTTTTCAATTCTATATACTTACCGAATTGTTTCCAAATTTTAGACATTCATATTTATGAAATTTAGATATAATTGTAATAACTAACAGAAGTATAGGGTTAATGAAAACTATTTAAATTAGCGCAATATTTGCCGATGTATGTGTCATTTTTAAGAATTACAACAAATTTTTACTACCCTTCAATTATAAATGCTCTAAAATATTATAAAATTTTATTAGAATATGGCAAAGTGCATTTCTATGGGCGTACGCGAATCTATTTTAAAGCGTTGTTATATGTTTGCATACTATTTCCAATTATTATAGTGCCAAAAAAAGTCAGAAACGTTTTTTCAGAGTAGTTTCAAAGTAGAAAAGTGTCTCCTACTGTATTGAAGGGTTGTGGCTGGATTTTGAATGTCTGACTTCAACGTTTGAGTGCCGGGCGATCCTTTCTTGAATAAATGAGGCAGTTTATCAAAGTGTGAATTGTATTAAAAAAATGGAATTTTAAATTTGGCTCTCAAGGCACTCGAAAAATGTAAAAAAAATATGCATTACTTTTTAATGTACTTTCTAAAGCATTTTCAAAGAATCTTTTGCAATTTTCTGCGCAAATTTAACACTTCCAGAAAGTAATAGTTTTTCGTTGGTCTGTGATACATTTATACATTGCTTGACAGGATGTTAAGAGTAGGAAACCTTTCCGTTTCATTCCTACACTTTTTGTAGTAGTGCTCTAAATAAAGTGAAATGTTTATAATATTATTTGAGCTTTCTTTGTTAAAAATATTTTATAAATAATGCCCCTCTATTTCAATATATCGAAGAAAAAAATTATTTTTGCAAAATATAATATAACTATAAAATCAGCTGAACTTGACTGTTTTGTATTACTTTTAAATATACTCTTTTCAAAATATTGTTGGAGTTCAGTACAGTTCAGTTCAGCGAAATGCTACTATTTGTGCAACGTATTTTTCGCTCAATTTCGCAGCACCTCCTTTTCTAATTTATTTGAAGCTTAATATTTTTTTTTCTAAACAAAACTGTATGCGTCTAAAATGCTGAGAGAATAAAGTACCCAAAGATATTTAATAAATAGTTTTACTGAAATATGTTTCTGTATATACATACATTTATATTGTAGCGCACTAAAACTATACTAAGCTTGTGACAAATGTAGTCGAAACGAAAGTTATAATTATTTCTAACTACGCTTAATTTAAGTTGCAAAACTATTTCATTTTACGCCCACTTTTTATAGAAAAGCTTACAATGACAATGTAGAATTAGAGAAGGAAGTTTTAATATCAAAAAATTAACAAAAAACACTGATCAACGATAATATAATATTTATTATGATAAAATGAAAGTTTGCGGCGTATATTAAGTGCTTTTTTTTTTATTTAACTTTCCACATTTGTAGAAATGTAAACGGCATGCAGAGAGTTAAATTGTAATGATTCACTTTTTATTACTTATTTATTGTTTTTATTTTCGTACATTTAAGTAAAATTTGTTAAAATCTAAATTAATTTTTAAAATTTTCCTTTGCATGCGCATTTAAAAGCTATTGTATTAAGAAAAAATAAATTAAATACATATATAACGAAATAAACAGGTAATTGTTGTAGGAGAAACTACTAAAGCAAAATAAAAACCAAATAAGTATTTTAAGTTTAACCGAGTTAAAAAATAAATAAATTGTAACCTCAAAATTACGTACATAAATCTCTTTATTAAATATGTGAGGTTAAGACGAAACAAAATTGCACACACTGGCATACACGTTATAAAAAAAAAATGTATTTATTGAAATAAAGTAATTTCTTAGCTTGCTCTGGATGAAAAGGTCGTGTGTGCACATTTTTAGAAATATTAGCAATATGTCTTAGTGCATGTGTGCTATTGAAGTATGAACGTAATGCTCAAATCAAAATCATCTTATGTACAGCGTGCGTACACATGTCTCATTGAATACGCGTACGTTGAAAAAAAAAAATATTTTATAATCTTAAAAATACCAAATACATAAGTGGGAGATGTTTATTTTAATGATATTATATTATAATAAAAACTAGTAGTACATATTTAGCAATACGTCTTAAAACTAATCTCATATAAAAATAATATAATATAAATTATCGCATTATTACAATACAAAAATTATAAGCAAAAAATATTATGAACTATGATAAAGTGAAAAAATAATTTATGCGCATATTATATCTAAATTATATTCATATTCATATATATAAATGCATACGTTTACACAAGAACTTATACATATAATACATACATATATTTAAAACAAGTTTCGCAATATTTCTCTACATTATTGGAAATAATATTAATAATATACATACTTAACTAAAATAAAATATTATAAACCATATTTTATCGTATTATGTGTTATAATTATCATGATAATGAGTATAATTTAAAAGGTTCATTGAAATAAAAGCAAAAAACATAAATAATTTTGTCATACCAAAATAATAAAAATAGCGTTTTATTGCTTTTTTTTTGTTTTATAAAAAAAAATTCTCTGGAATTAGAAAAGCCAAGCAACCTGCTCAAACCACAACAGTCAGTCGGCTATCGTCTTAATCGTTTAAAGTGTGCATAATTGTAACCGTCTTGAATGTAACATCCGCTGATCACGTTGTTTTTTCCACTTTCACTTTTTATCCGTTCGCAGTGACTTATATCCGTAGCTGGCAGCACGCTTGAGCATTTTTTGACGTTTACTTTTGTGCAAACGTCTGGCAACTCCCGACGTACCTAAAAAGGACGGCTAAAGAGAAAAGTCAAAAGAAAAGTAAAAACGAAGACTGCGAAAACTTTCCTTTTATTCAACTACACCCAAGAACGACAAAAGTAGACAATTAACAGAATAAAAACTGGTAAAACCGATAAACTACACGAGCGGAGAGTAAATTCATCAAAGTTTTACAGCAAAAGAATAAATTCAATAACACAAACAACTTGCCAAGATTTATACGTTTATTCCGGCAGTGGTGGTACAGCGAATAGCAATCAGTCGCGGAACGCAACGAGCTGACTACAAAAACAACAACAGCGAAGACACACATCGACCGCAGGAACAGTGTGGCAGCAATAGTAAACCGCAGTGCAGTCTCATAGTCATAGTTCAAATACAGTTTGTGTGGAACACAGACGTTAACGCCATTCAAAGCAGTCTGGTGTGACAGTACGAAAATAGTAGGTGTGTGTGGTAAACCGGGTGTGTGATATCTGCCGAGTAAAGTGCCAACGTAATGCCCTTGTTTGGAAAATCACAAAAGACCCCCGCTGAACTGGTGCGGTCGCTTAAGGAAGCAATCAATGCGCTGGAAACGGGTGGTGATCGAAAAGCAGAGAAGGCGCAGGAGGATGTAAGCAAAAATCTTGTATCGATCAAGAATATGCTTTATGGCAGCAGTGATTCAGAGCCACCAGCTGATTATGTAGTAGCACAATTGTCGCAAGAGCTTTACAATAGTAATCTTTTGTTGTTGTTAATACAGAATCTACACCGTATTGACTTTGAAGGCAAGAAGCATGTGGCACTTATATTTAATAATGTGCTGCGAAGACAAATCGGCACACGTTCACCCACAGTGGAATATATTTGTACCAAACCGGAAATATTGTTTACATTGATGGCCGGCTATGAAGATGCGCATCCAGAAATTGCATTAAATTCTGGCACAATGCTGCGTGAGTGTGCTCGATATGAGGCACTTGCTAAAATAATGCTGCACTCGGATGAGTTCTTCAAGTTCTTCCGCTATGTAGAGGTATCAACCTTCGATATTGCGTCAGATGCATTCTCCACATTCAAAGAATTGCTGACACGTCACAAATTGCTGTGCGCTGAATTCCTCGAGGCCAACTATGACAGGTTTTTTACGCAACATTATCAAAGGTTGTTAAATTCAGAGAATTATGTCACCAGACGACAAAGTCTGAAATTATTAGGTGAACTATTACTGGATCGACACAATTTTACTGTAATGACACGTTATATTTCGGAGCCGGAAAATCTGAAACTTATGATGAATATGTTAAAAGAAAAGTCTCGTAATATACAATTTGAGGCCTTCCACGTCTTCAAGGTGTTTGTAGCAAATCCGAATAAGCCGAAACCTATATTAGACATCTTACTACGCAACCAATCTAAGTTGGTTGACTTCCTGACCAATTTCCATACGGATCGTTCGGAAGATGAGCAATTCAACGATGAAAAAGCATATCTGATTAAACAGATAAAGGAGCTGAAACCGCTACCTGAGGCTTAGTAGCATAGCAGCCAACACAGACGTATCGACAACCAATATATGTACAGCAACAAGAAAAACATCTACAACAAAATTTCCAAAATCTTCAGCGAACCCAAAGCTACAATCTATCACCTAAATCACCATTTTCGGTGCTACCAACTCCATTCATTAATTTTGCCAAGTTCAAGGGCTCGGCAGGTCCTGTTAGCCAGTTTTTAAATTCGGATAAGCGAGTGTGTTAACTTTCTATGGTAGATGACCATGTATATGTATTCAATCGATCTGTGCGCTGTTTGGTTACGATTGTATAGCAGCATTAGTGTATTTTAATTTAAAGAAAAGTAATTATATTAGTCAACACTATAAACGTATATGCCACGCTACAGAAGTAGAAAGAAGTTAAGAAAATTAAAAAAAAAAAATATCGAAAGCTAATTACAAAATCTTGCAAATATTTTTATACATTCATTTATTTAAAAAAGAAATTATTAACCAATATCGTCAAATGCTAAAGTAATAACTCATCAGGCCACAGCATTTGGGTACGATAAAAAGCCAATTTAGGAAAGTGTTAAGGGTGGAACTGTAAGAATTTTTAGATAAGATATTTCCAACACGCTGCGACGATCGTATATCTACTGTCTTGCCTTTAAAAAATAATTGAGCATAATGAATATCTGATTTTCGGTAAATTGAAAAAATTGAAAAGGCGATAGTTTGCAGAGTTTGAAAATTTGGGCTTCTTAGAAATAGAGATCGAGGGCAAGCAGACTAAATATAAAAAAAAAAATAAAATTACTAAATAGGATAATGATAATAAAGAAAAACAATACGACTTACATACATAAATATGTGAAGGCAACTTTATATTGCGGCTTACGATTGACTCTTCTGTTTTTGTTCTTTGTCGTTATTTTGTATGTTTGTTCATTTTACTATGTTTAGGAATGCAATTCAAATAAATCTAGTTATAAACTGCGAAAAAATTATACAATTTGCTTTCTTTTAACATTCTTCAAGTAAGAAAAAAGGGGCATAGGAGCTGTAGTGTAAGCGATGAGCAGGGTGGTGAAACATGAGTTCAGAATGTCGATAATGCCTCCCTTTAAATAACATAATCAAATATATAATAAAGTAAATAAAAAATAATACATACTATTAATAAACACAAACGACACATACGCATGCAAATATACAACGTATATACATCTAAGCATATATTATATACATATGTATATATATGAATGTAGTATAGAACGAATACAACCTTACATGCATACACTATTACTATTATAATATTAAAAAACCAGAAAAAATATTTATATTATTATGCCTAAAATTTAAATGAAAACCAACAAAAAATATAAATAAAATATGCGGTTAGCAAAAAACCCAAACTAAACCTTTTTTTTATTGAATTTTATGAAATTCATTTACCTATAGTGTATGTGACTTAGTGCATCCAGTAAAGCGATGTGAAAAAATACTTACAAAAATTCACGTAATACATTTGGGCAAATGATAGAGAATAGTACTCGTATTGACCAAACCTAATGGCATTGAAAACGTGACTGTTACATATGGAGTGCATATCAATTGCATACATACAAAGGTAGATAGTTGATACCTTTTTTTGTTGGAATACACGAATACATACCTGCATATGATTCAGTTTTATATCTGCATAGGTTTTGATAAAAAAAAAACTGCTTCGAAGAAACAAAAACAAATTTGCTTAGACACTAGAGTGCTTAAAAAGGTTCACACTTCTACAATCAGCTACGTTTAAGCTATTACAAAAATTTATAGATTCTTATATGTAGGTAAAGAAAACTAACTATTATTTCTAATCAAAATCAGATATTTATTAAAAGGTTTTTTTGAAAAATAAGTATAATTAGGTTTACAATTTAATCCTTGCGCAATTGCACCTCTTCCTCCGTGATGCCATCTTTTGTAATTACTTTCAAGATTACTGAATCTCCAGTGTAGATATCACGTTCTGCTGCTGAAATGAAAGCATCCTTAGCAACTTCCTTGGCCTTTTCCAATGGCACTTTTGGCTTGTTCTTCACATCTTTATCTTTTCCACCGATTTGATTATCCAAAACGGGCTGGAGTAGAGTACCAGCAGAACCACCAGCACGATATGTGGTACGTTCACAATGACCAATGGGATCGTAAGAATAAACAACACCTTTTCCTTCAGAATCAAGACCAGCCAAAACATTCGAAACGTAGTATGGGAAAAACCGTCGGTTATACATAAGAATTGATAACATCTGTGCGACTGCCTCTGTTGACATTGTCTTCAAATGCAGATGCTCATACATTTGCATCCGTGCATTCACCAAACTGGTAAGGGCCAGTGTGTCACACCAACAACCAGTTGAACCGAGCACAGTTTTTTCCGATAGTTGGAAAAGCTTATTTTGTTTTCTAGTGTGGATTGTGTAACCACTACTCAAACGGGTGTCAGCCGCAATCACAACGTAGTCCTCACCGGCAATTGCCACAATAGATCTGTTAATGACTTGGTTTAGAAATGTCGAAATGTTGAAATGTGTTCGTTCTTACCCTCCGTTTGATTCATATGGAGAAAAATCTTGATGTTGTGCACCGGGCACTTGGTATTCAGGAAAAGATTGAATTTTATGCATGATTACACAAAATTAAGTTGATTTTCAAATTAATTCAAACAAATTTATGTTTTAAGTGATTTGCAGAAATTTTTCTTTGCGTTGTCTACTGAATGACATTTATATTTTTGGTTTGACAGTTTGGTAATTATGCATTATGCTGTGACATCAAAAATATAGTGCTGCCAGAATAACGAAAAAATAATAATGTTTTTAAAAAGAAATTTTAGAACCACAATCATCTTTGTAGTTCGTTAAACATAATCATAAAATTCAATATTTAAAAATTAAAAAGTAATGTAACTTTTAACTGTTTATTAAAATTTGAAAAGTTTTGAATTTTATATACATATAAATAACAATTTTTGTTTCTTGAATCTTATTTTAAATTATGCAGCTAGAGGCATCAATTCCGCTCGCCTTACTAAGTTGCCTCGATTTTTGTCCACCAATTTCTTTACACCATTGTACCATTCTCCTGCAGATATAAAATATTTTAGATATATTTTCGTATTTTCAATTTATATTTTTTTTACCTATTTTTGTATTTTTCATGCAATCACCAAACGCCTCACATCCTTCCATACTATTGAGTACACCAAAAACTGATAGATCAGCTAAATTTGGCCGATCGCCGCCCATGAACTTTTGTTTCCTCTTTTCCAATTCTTTAGTCCACTTATTAAGCGCTTCATATATGTGTGATCGAACATCATCCGATAGACCATGTCGACGTTTCAACATCTTGCTTATACCCCACATAGCGAATGCACCAACATTTACCATTAGATCGCGTTCCCATTTGGGGAAGTAAATATCCCACTCGCCTGCTTTCGAAAACCACTCGAACGTTTCACGTGCTTCGTTCAAAGTCCGGTAGCAATTGGGTGAAATGAGATGTACTAGATGTGAGTCTGCCCATGTACGCCACTTTCGCTCATCTCTAAAATATCATTAAGTAGTATGTATTTATAATATATATATATATATTAATTTGTAATAATTGAACTATTACTTACTCTTGAGTATCTCTGGTTATATGCTTTGGTGTTTTATCTTGATACATTAAGAAGTATTTGTTCAGTATGTCAAGGCGTTTCTTATCATTGTCATCGAAAAACGATATCATTGGGTAAAATTTAGCCAAATCACCTACGTCAGTTTGTTTATCATTTAAATATGATGCGAGAAGCGAGATGATGGCGCTTGAGTCTGTCATTTGTATATATCGTCCATCTCCTTGTTGTACCAAAATCATAGGTACTTTTTTCTGCTCCGACCATTTTATATCTTGCCGAAGTACTGCATCCACCTCAACAACAGAGTACGATATACCCATGTAATCCAGAAAGGCACGCACTTTACAACAGAAAGGACATGTTTGGTATTGAAAAAGTATTATGTTCAAATCAGAGTTATCATTAGGATTAACAAAGCGCTTTGTTATCCTAACATCGGGTAATTCTTTCAGAATTTTCGGCGGTATACGTTGATGCTCCATGTGAGAACTTTTATCCTTCCAATTACCATAAATTGAATACACGGTACCAGATGCGGCACCAAGTCCAGCCCCAATAAGCGCCAGCTTAAAAGTACTTGTACCATTCCGTTTCGGAGTAACCTGCGAGGCGTATCGTCTAACTTGTGATCCTATTGATCGCCATACAGGCAACACATAGCCAACAGAGGGCCTTGACACAACACCTGTGACGAATCGTCGATTTAATGCCACACGTAATGATGACATTGTCTGTTTATGCTTTCAAACACCACTTTTCGTTATTAACTTAGTAAATTGTGTTACTTAATACCGGTCTAAAAGATTTGGATATCAAATCTTTTTCTTTGGCTAGAACCAATCTTGAAATAACCTTCCAAAAATCAGCTGACTCGACCAATGAGAGATGCCACTTCAATTAATGTCATTTAATGCAAATTATTCACAATAACATAATTTCCCATTTTGTTTTAAAAATATTTGATTTTTCTTCATTTTAATGCTAGAAGAACTACCAGAACTACTAATTTTGAAAAGAGCCAAAACAAAATTAAAATAATTGTCAGAAAGCTTTTTTTTATGCATGGGACAGAAATTTTCATTGTCAGTAAATTTTTCAAAAATTGTCTGATCTTATATCAAAATTTTTTCATTAATTTTCGGCATTTTTATTTAATTTTAGTTGGGAAATATAGTATTACGATTCTTTTAAATACACGACAGTCTGAATAGCGCTAGAAAGTGACTGAGAAGACGTGAATAATGCATATAACGGGAAAGGAGTGTCGAACTTTTTTGATTCAGAGAAAAAATTTGGTAAATTTTTGTAGCCATTGAAAGTTGAATTACATTCCAACGGAAAAATTAAGTACAAAAAATCTTACAGCCTCTTCGCATAGTTCCTGCATTTACCTATCAAGCTCTGCAGAAGAATACAGTTGTAGAACCACCACCAAAGTAAGATTCAAAGGGATAAGAATCATACCATTATCTTAATTTGAATTCCGAATTTCTATAGAATCTATATATACAAGAAACGTCCGGTTAAAGAAACTCTTTTTAAAATGTATTTTCGTCGTGGTGACATACCGGCGGCTAAAAGAATTAAAGGCAGCGGAAAGGGTACTAATGGAAGTGTGAAATGGTTTTGTGACCCAAAAGAACTTGATTACTGTTATTATTTACCAATTTTTGTGGATGGGTATGTAATATGTGGATGTCGTTTCTATAATTGGCCAATAATAGTTAGTTCTTCTATTACTAAAAGTATTACGTTGTGGCCCCCACGTACTTTAAGTTAGGCTTTAACATTGACTCTAGGATGATAAAGGAGACCATAAGGTTTCTTACTCCTAGAAGTTAAAGACATATAGGTAGGCCACAACAGAGGTTGCAGCACTACTAATGCATGTTGACTAAAAGATACACTCATCTATTTAAATAACCTTACTAGTATTTCATTTTATATGTTTTATGATATCATTTAGTCTCGCTGATACTGATATCGACATACGCTCATTAGCACAAGAAGCTGCCATGGACTTGATACTAAAAGCTCCACATAAAATTTTGCCGGTTCTACCGAAACTAATTCTTCCTTTCAAGAGAGCATTTAATACTAGAGATAAACGTATAATAATTTCAGCATTAAAAGTCTTGCAGACTATGGTTTTGGTTGGTATGTGGGAGAAAAACATATGTAGACGTTTTTCAGATATGTAATTAAATGTACAAATGTACTTAATATATTCTAGGACCTTGTGTGGGTCAAGCTCTAGTACCATACTATCGTCAACTTTTGGCTGTTTGCAATTTATACAAAAATATTAATGTTAATCTCGGCTCTGGTGTTGATCCTGATCGTAGTCGGCGTATCGGCGATGTTATCGAAGATACATTATCTTTGCTGGAAACGTGTGGAGGTCCCAATGCGTTCATCAATATAAAATATATGATTCCCACATACGAAAGTAGCACTCATCCAATATGTGATCCTTCGGGTGGAAAACTTGCTTCATAGATCATAAATTCTCAGTATCGATAGTACTATATAAGATATTTTAAGAGAGAGTATGAGTTAACTCATTTGTGCAATTTTTTTTATAATGCTATTTAATGCTGGCATAAATATTACATATTAATGAACAGTCTTAAGGAATATTATATTTTGTACAAATATTTGATGCTCTAATTAAAATGATTAAAAATATTAATTATTATATTGAAGAAGAAATAAAAGTAAATTCAAAATTAATAATTTGGTATTTAAGGGTTAATAACATCATTGTAACTGATATATTTAAATGCACATTGTCAAGAAGAAGCATATTGCAGCATAAACTCAAACAAAAACTGCTAATTGAGAAGAATTTGGTAAACCAAACTGAAAAAGTATTAGACTTTTGTTAAAATGAGCGAAGGTCTATTTGAAAACGGGTTTCGTTTGGATAAATTTAACAGTGAGGACTTATTAAGTACATTTTTGCGATATGGACTATTTATAGGTGCAATATTTCAACTTGTATGCATCGCTTCATCGATTTTACTTCCTGCCGCTGCTGAAGGATCTAGTAGTGAAGATGGTAATGAGGTAAAGTATTGATAGAATTAAAATTTTTAGTGCATTTAAATATTTATATCTTTCGTTTTTAATTTTTATTAAAGGATTACAAATACAACGGCGAAATTGGAAACATGCGACGACTGCATAAACTACGCAAGCAAGAAAAAAAGAAACGGCGTTAATTTTAAGATTTTCAAAAGATTATTTGTAATTTATAATTAAAGATTTAATAGTATTTAAAAAACTGCTCGAATGAAAGCAACCTTCTACATTAAGTTCTAACCAGAATGATGATTGTATTATTAATGTACATACATTTGGTGTGTAAATTGAATCCATAAATTAGTGTTGAGATTTTCTTTAAAAGTTTAATACTGAAATGAGCACTACAAAATATAGAATAGCTGCCTCGTGAGCAAATATTACGCATGACCGCAGACCGCATACAGAAGATCTCTGTGCAAACTTAGTCATAACTAACTATTTTTGTTTTAACTAACAAAACACGGAAGTGTAAATAAGTACGAATGTTTACAGAGACAATTTTTTATCCAAACATTAAAAAAATAAAAATATTAATAATGTCATCCCAGCTTAACCGTTTAACTCCGCTACGTAATTGCCACTAGAAGTATACACATGGAAAAATGTATCTAACTCTCTCCCACCATTCAAAAGTGGTATAGCTTAGTAGTAAACATGAATAATGTAGCAATACTAGATTCGTAAAGTAGTGAACAATCACGAGCGGAAAAAGTGGGAGGAGCACTTGAGGGCAATATCTCCTCTTGGACACCCAAGCTCTGGGCTACAGTCAAGTTGTTGTCTAACCCGACGAGACGCGATGGCCGAGTGGAATTTTCATTTGGAGCTCACGCCTCGTAGAACAGGAAGATATGCGCGAGCTATTTTAGCCGACTTTTTACACTGCATCCTTCGGTAGACAAAACGAGACGAAGTGCTACCCTCCAAACACCAGTGTGGTGCTTGAATTCTCCAGGGAACAGGTTCAGGAGGTCATCGAGAAGGCGAAAGCCTCCGAATCCATCGGCCCCAACGGAATAAGCATGCTGACGTTGCTAAAACATCTTGGACCAGCAGGACCAATCTCCTCAACTTGTGTTTGACCTCCCTAATGATACCTGACATGTGGAAAACGGGCAGGGTGGTCCCGTTACTCAAGCAGAGGAAACCAGCCTACAAAGGAGAGTCCTATCAGCCCATAACTCTCCTCTTCCCAGTAGCGAAGTCACTTGAAGTCTTGCGTCTCACGACTTGCATTTACCGTCTGCGTCTGGCAGCAGTAACTAATCATCATGGTTTCCTTAAAGTCATAGTACCACAACAGCACTAAACGCCATAAACACTCAGATGGCTTTAACTAAAACCGACCCTGCGCGCGAACTGTCCAGATTCTATCAAAAGCTTTTGACACGGTCAACCATTCAGTTCTACTAACGGACATTGAGCAGTCTTCATTACCGCCGGGGTTGCAGAGGTGGGTCATGGTCTACCTGAGTGGTCGACAATCATCGGAAATATTCAGAGGTGAAACATCGAAACTCAAGAAAATTAAATAGGTGGTTCCCCAGGGTGTTGCCCTCCTCCACCAGAAGGAGTTTCCCTGACTTCGTATGCCGATGACTGCACGATATATTGATGACCTCTGTTCGAATGTGAAGCGCTACCTTGCGGATCTTTTTTCACTGCACTGCTTATCACAGTTAAAAATATAACCGACTAAATCCTCGGCTACGCTCTTCACCAGTTTGGCGAAGGAGTACAGGCTAGAATTAGATGTGAAGGTAGATGACGTAAAAATTCCGACTATAAACAACCCAAAGATATTAGGAGTCTCACTAGATAGCCTGCATTCCTTCCTCTTACCAGAAAACCATCCTCAGGACCGCGACAGGAAACCTCCTGATGTCACCGGGGCTTCCCTTGCACTGTGAATCATCTATGCTACGAGTTAAGGAGCATAATGCCTTGCTGTGCAAGCAATTCCAATTAGGATGCTACCATAGGGACCACATCCCAATAGGCACCTTATTGAATCTGAACCATCGGCTAGACACATCAGAAAGGGAGTACTTGACATGAAGAACACCATCCAGCAATACGTGCAATAACCGTTGGACAGGACGGCGTACAAACAAGCACTGAACGCCATTCACCGGGAGACAGTCAACCTTTTCAAAGACTCCTTTCCCGTGCATGACGTGCTCGGAGAAAAACCACCATACATTGCAGACAACGTGCTCGAGCTGGCTCTAGTAACTCGCATGAACTGGGCACAATTATGGTCTGGTCCGACTTGACTCCAGCATACCCAACGTATGCCCTGCATGTGGAGAGTCTCCGTATGACACTAACCACCTCTTTACATGCCGCCTTATGCCGACACATCTAACACCTTTCTACTTCTGGTCAAATCCCGTCGGAACAGCAAGTTTCCTGGACCTCCCATTAGATGTCCCCGGTGACTTAGATTGACTAAACCTATCCCTAAGTGGGGTTACCGAGCCGCTACAACAACAACAACAAAACAACAACACCGCTAGATAATTACGCCCAAGTGTTTACAACGGTGTATATAGATAACAAAAATAATGTAAACAATTAAAAGTGGGTACTTCAACTTAACTAGCTAAAGAAGTGTGCCATTAGTACCTATTTGCTTGTTCATAGAGGTATATGTTCTTTTTTGTTTAAAACGTTAAATACAAATATGCTGACGTTGAAAAAAGTATTGTTTTCACTGATATTTTGTGAGTAAAATAATTTTGTTATTGTATTTTGCATATAATAAATATAAATGTATAAAAATAAAACAAATTCTGATTCTCAAACGAAATATGAAGGTTTCCTACTGTCTGTGATTAGCGCAAAAGTTGAGACGAAAAAGGCCCAAAGCCTTCCAAATGCAATACATTCTCAAGTAAAAAATATAACAGCTCCACATAGCCCGACGAAGACTTGTGATCTTCAGAAGAAATGTGTTGTAAATGAAACTACAGTACCTCTATGTCTTTATGATGCCGACGAGGGTTGTATAAGGAAATATGCATCAAAATGCCATTTGGATATAGCAGCCTGCAAGGCAGGAAGGAGTAAGTAATTCATTCAATGGTTAAATGTTGATATTTTCATTGTTTGCTATTAATATCTTCAGCACTTAATGATTACAACAACGAATATTGTGCCATGGACACGTTTATATGTGAGGAGGGCTATGAGCGTTGGACTATATTTTTTGGATATGAAAAGGCTTGAGTTTTCTAAACGGCAAAAGTCAGTTAAGTGATAAGGAAATATTATGAGTTACTCTAATAAGTAATTTACATATGTATGTCTGCATGTGTACACCTGTTCAAACAAATGTATGTGTGTTAATGTATGTAAGTGAAACAATTTCAATAACAGCTACACAATAATATTTTCAAATAATTTACTATAGTAAAAATATAATAAATATATATATTATATGTATGTATGTATATATGTACTTCAAATTAACATCTTGGTAAACATTATTAAGCAATAAACATATACATCCTACAATAAATATCGCTAAATTTCAAGTTAAGCTTTTTTTCGTCTTTATGTATGTGTGCAAGTGCATTATGAATATTTTTTTAAGATTCAATATTAACTGAACCATTGGCATTCAGGTTTGGTAGGATTTCGTTGGTGTTCTGCAGGCAAGATGCTCTGAGTTTAACTCATATTTCGCTATGTAAATCATTTAATCACTTAGCCCGGAAAGGTGAGAATAATGAATGAACTGACTGCCCAATTAATTTATATCATACAAAAAGGTCTGAAAATTAAAGTTTACAATAAATGCTAAATACATATGTGTGTATTTAACTATAGTTAAACCAATTAGTTTCAAATACAATCTTAATATTTATGTATATTCGTATGTACTTAGTTTAAGAACGTGCTGATTCAAAGGCCAATTAAGTTAAAAAATGTTGTTGCTAAAATATTTACAGTTATATGAAATGAAAATTTGTCACGTAGTAAAAGTTTATAAATTTCACAACTGAGTGAAAAAGCTTTCCAGTTGATTTCGTAAGCCGATGAGAGATTTTTCGATTCCATAGTGTATTTCGAGAAATAAAAAGCAAAAGGAAAACATGAAAAACCTGACCATCATTTTTTGCTTTTTGTTGGCATGTAAGATTAAATATAACTCTATTTTCAAGTTGCTTTTTTCTACAATTTTTATGTAAAAATAATTACAGACACCATCACAACAATAAACGCTCGTCCTAGCGTTGAGCTTGCAACACGTCTATCAAATCTTTATATGGATCCAGCGAATGATGAAAGCATTAATGAAATAAATCGCTTTGATATCGATGAGGTATACTATTCAAAACGAAAAGAGGTAATGAAGGAGCCAGACTTGGTCTTAAGCACTAAAGAAGTGTCGACCAAAAGACCGGAAGAAGTTGAAGATACCACGAGCAGCGCAGAGACTGAGGAACGTCTAATGCGTTTTATGTTCGGTTTAATGGGTAATGTGATGAGACGTTTTATACCTTTGTAGGTAAGGCATGAAATTGGGTGCATACTTATCTATGTAAATACATATGTATGTAATTATGTATACAATGATATAGCGGTTAATTATCTAATAATAGGAAAAAAAACAATTGTAATCACCACTAATAGGTGAACAAATGTATGTATGCATATATATACATATAAATATATATATCATCTCAGCATAACGACCTTGAACTTTTGTTTTTTTTAGCTGGGATTGTGAAAGAGAAGATGTGCTTGTTTTTGTAACGAAATTGAGAGAGTAATTTAATTTTTGGCAATAACCAGAAATCAAAAGGTGCTATAGCCGGGGAACAGGGCGCTGGACGTATTGACGTATTTCTTCGATCCCAGAGATCGCAATCAAATTACTCGTTATTGCAGCAGTGTGGGAAGGCGCGTTGTCATGAAATAAAAAGTAGCGCCGCAAATCCTCTTTCTTGCTGTTTTCCAACAAATTTTTGAAAACTCTTGGCAAGCTTCGCTGTATCATTTTGCACCGCATGAGTTTTTTCCAGTGGAATAGCAGCTACGATTTTAGATCGTGTGAAGTAAACTGGCATCATTACTTTTGCTGCTGATTTTTGTTGGTTTGATTTTAAGGGTGGCTTTTTTCCTGTTGGGTTCCATAGTATGGACTGCTGTTTGGTTTCTGGATCCTACTCAGAGAACTAAGATTCTTCACCAGTGGTGTATTTACGAAATAAAAAAAAATATTACACTTTTGATGACAACTGGTTTCTTTGGAGAAATTCTTTATCGCCCAGCTCGCGTGCGTTAAGGTAGTTCTTCATGAAAATCCTACTTAATTATAAAATTTAAACCTTATATGCGAAACCAAATGACCGCTAGCAAATTTTTGCAAACTTTGATTCGTTAGAGATAATTTTCGACCACTTTTTTGTATATTTTCATTTGGTGGTATTCCAGTCAATAGTTAAAGATTAATCCACATACACGGTGTTTCGCGTAGCCCCACAAAAAAGAAGGTCAAACACTGTCAAATCCCATAATCTCGGTTGCTAATCGACATCGCCAAGGCGAAAGATTACGCAGCATTGAAATTTCTCTCGCAATAAATCCATATTCGTTCGTGGCGTTGTGTGGCATGTGGCACCATCTTGTCGAAATCAGGCGAAAATGAAGTCGGGTATAATACGGCCATAACATACCGAATTGACAGTGACAGTCTCGCGGTTGTAGTTTTCAAAAAAAAAAAGGTCCGAAAATGTAATCAAAAAGCGCAAGTAGAACGATGAGAACTTGACACATTTCGGCTCATTTTAACTTCCAGTAGAGGCCGAACGGACAAAACGATGTTGCACAGGCCTTACAACATCTGTAATCGATACAATATTTTCCTTTATCTTTAAACTTTTACCAATTGCTAGAGTAGTTAACAATTTATCAATATAATTTCCATATAAGTATTTCAAAACTTTATTGCAGATTCACATAATGTAAAAAGTATGTATGTGCACTTGAAAAAGTCCTCCACTAGCAAAGCTGCGCGCCAGGCCTTGAGCACTCCTGATAATCAACTTGTCTGATATCTACAAAAATTAACAAACAAAAACACAAAATAAGAAAAAGGTAAAAATAATTCAATTGAAAGTAATTATTTTAAATATTAATAAAAAAAAGTACTTTGTCGCGTGGTGCAAGCTTCCGCATTCAAGGAACAAGAGTTGCCATAGCTTTTATAGCAACGTCCATTAAATCCACATGTGGGGGTGTAGATTGCCGGGCAAATTTGAGGACACTGTGCGTCAACATACGTGAACAACAGTAGAACTGCGGGAAGCAAATATTTATACATTAAAAATGTACAGTTATTTATAAAAAATATTTATAAACATTTAACTCACCTGACACTAAAATTCCTAACTTGCGCATCTTCAATTCACAAAACATCTATTGCCTATGAATTTTCAACCACTACTGCTCATATAATTTGCCGTATTTTAATTTTTATTGAATTTCTAGCACGTAACGGTGAGTATAAAACCTGTTTTGGGGGAACTTTTTGATGCTGAGTTGATGCTTGCTTTAATACATTCATTTGTTTTATCTTAAAAAGAACAAACACTCAACACTTTAAAAAGCTTACAGAAATAAATATTTACTTTTTTTTTGGAGATATCTAAGATGTATTTTAGACTAGGTTGGACAGGAACAGTGGACGTGTTCCAATGACTCACGTATGCCAGTCTCCCTAAACCTCTTAAATATCCTTACTTGAGATGAGGGTAGATTGTGGGCTGTCATTAAGCGTCTGCAACTGTCCTAGAGTCATTCTGAGAAAGCATGAGAAAGTAAGCATAAAATAGTGGTTTTGGCCCTCTTGCTTGCTGTTTAATCATTCCATCTTAGCCTGATCCGTCTTATAACCCTCTCGGAAGCTTAATTATACAGAGTCTTTAGTGACTTTTGCACAGAAGGCACCTTTAATAATAATCTATACAGCAATCAGAAGGCTTGATGTTGTCATTCCTGATGGCAGACCGCAATCCTCTTTTTACGTGACTTCAAAACATTTTCCTGGATAAAGCCTGAGCACATATGGGTTGTCCTATTCACTGTCGCCTTTCTTATTTAATCGGTGGCACCGATTTGAAAGCCGCAAATACGCAGATGAAGAAGGTTTAATTTATCACCTAAGCAAACGTAGGGCCTGAGCTACCCCGTGGGTATCGAGTAACACTGGCACAACTGAGTTCGATCCTGCAATACCCTATCTTACTTCCCTTCGTATTTGATTTAAGCCTTTGAGCCTATTGTTTGATAAGCTCGAAGAAATATACAAGCTTTGCTTGCACCTATGCAGCGTACCAAAAAATAACTACTGTTGTTGTTAATCTTAGTTTCTAAACTTGGACATGTTCGGCTTTGCAGCACCTCAACTTCCGCTTCAACTATAAAGAGGTCACTGCGACTCGCAATTGCCACCTAAAAGCATTTCGTTATCTTCATTAATTCTCGGAATGATAGAAATAGCCGTGACGCTAGTTTAGAAATTGCAACATTTGTTTACATATTTAAATTAAGAATATTAAGCTCACTTGCATATCACATCACGTGATAGCAATGATGTCGCGTCACGTGGTATCAATGATGTCACATCACGTGATATCAATGATGTCATATCAGATCACTCGCAAATCAGAAGAAGAAGGATTCACGTCATATGTATATAGCGATTACATCATAACTTAATCATCAGCAACATTTTAAACATTTTTAAAAATAAATCGTCTTATTTAAGAATCTCATCGACATCACACGAAATGAATTAGTGACATCACATTTAATTTTTGTAAAAAAAAATATCTCCTTACTTTTTTTTTAAATTACTTATTCCAGTTGGTTTTAGATCATTTGTTTATTCTATTTAAGTATGTATATGCTACTTTAATAGCCTATTTCCACCAAGCACTTAAATGCATTTAAGGCCTCTGTTAAGTGAATGACATGTCAAACGTTTCCACCGAAAGTGAGTTAACTCAAACAGCTGATTTTTGTTTACATTTGCAGTTTGCGAAATTTGCCACAACTATTGAAATCATGAATTCAAGAGACCGCATTCATTTTATTTGGCTATTTATGCAATCTTAAGATTTGCAAGTGAAGATTATTGCTGCACGGACAAACGCTGCTGAAACGAAAATGATTTTATTCATGTTTCCATTTTCATATTTGCTTGTTTGTTCGCTCAAATTATTTATTTTGCGCAATCAGCTGATAGCTGCCAGAGCCACGTATATTTTTATGTTGAGGGGATCGTTTGATATTTCACAATTGCTTTTTGTTTTATTCTTATAGTTTTTTCTTGAAGGAGGAGAAGCATTTTCTTCGCCAATTACTTAATATAGGTATTTATATTAAAACTAATGCAAAAAAGGAATTTTAACACAAAAAATTTCACCATGCAAAATAAAAGTCTCGTCCCTCATTAAATCCGAAAATACACGACTCTGGCAAGAAGTACACCGAAACTTCCGAAATGATTACATTAGTAGTGACAGCATCCAATGTTAACATAACATTTTCTGTTAAATTGCCGAAAGTGAGTTAACTCACTTTGAAAAGTGAGTTAACACACTTTTATACAACAACAAACACATGGGAATTACCGCATTTAAATGCGATGTTTAAATACATTTAAGCTAAAATGCATTTAACGTCCGGTGGAAATAGGCTATAAGACATTTTTTATAGTCAGATTCTCCGTTTTTTTTCGTTCTTCTTAATACATACATACATACTTGTACAATAAATCGTCTTAAATCTATGTGTAGTAACTGTTTGAGCATATCTATTAAAATATATAGTATGTTAGTAGAATTGAATGTTAGTTTTATTAGTAATTTTTCAGCAAAGCCTGTAAGCCGGATGAGTTTTTCGTTCAGCCAAATCACATAAAGACATGTCCACAGTTTCGAGATCTGAAATTGAAGAAAATGGATTTTTTAGTTAATATATAAATTTGACTATTGGGGCGTGAACCGGAATATTTTTACATATAAATTGTAGTTAACTGCTCAAATGTTGGCTTACAATATTCGAGCTTTGAATAAGCCTAGCAGAAAAATAAAACTTTCCAATGTTTCTTGCCGAAATTTCCATATAAATTGAATTGTTTGTACACTTTTTGTAAATAAATTGAAAATTATAGTAAAGTTAAAGTAAAAAGTGTGGTTCAGGTTGCTCGAAACACTAAACAGAGAACTTTTAATAACAGTATTGATAAAATCTCAAATAATATTCAAAGTAATGACCCTGTGTATGACCATATATATATCGACATATGAACTATGAGGAACAAATACAATTATAATTTCAGTCATTCATAGTGAAAACTCTAGAATTTTTTATTGAAATAAATATTTCTGCATCTTTTTTTTATTAATTTTGGGTTTTTAAATCAATTATATACTTAATAGTTGCTGTGGACTGCTATTTTAGGTATGGTGAATCCCCTACGCGGCGTGGTAAATCTCTTTCCCAAAGTTTTTTCAGAGAAATGATAATACCGAGAAGGTGCAAATTCGTTGCAACATCGAACCTGCTTCAAACAATTTTTGAAAAACTTTGGGAAAAGGATTCACTGTTTGATATCGATTTATTGTTTACAAAAATTTTGTTATGAACACTTTTTTAACCAATTAACGTTTGCAGTGCTTCAAGTTATAAAATTCCTTTAAAATAAAATATCTTCGCATATGTTCTTATTATTTACGGATTACAATTTTTTTTTTTCAAATTAGTTTTTCATATTAAACTTTAGATAATTTCAACAACTTTGCAGTAAAAAAAAAAAGTAAAATACGGAAAAGTTTTTAGAAGAGAGTGGTACATATTGCCGAAAGCAAAGATAGATGTATGTAGCGTTTTGGAACCGTTGAAGCAATTTGAGATGCGATCTAAATATTTTTCCGACAAATGGGTGTGATCTAAAATTTATTCTGAGCGGTCTCCGAAAAGCTGATGGACTTTCGTGAGAAGCTTTTATTATATAATACAATATATCAGAAATCAATTTGGAGGCTTGCCGTGGGCAATGGAAATTAAAAAAAAAATATATTTTTATTCTTTAAATTAATTCTCCATTGCATTGGATTTGAATCCATGACCTGCCGCATGATAGCATAACCTATTAACTACTTCGCTCCTTTCACCGTGGTCCGATACTCCGATAATAATTTCAGATTACAGCTAATAGTCCACAAATTCAAATCGGTAGTGATTAACCTGAGAAAGAGAAGGAGACCATAAAGTACCTACGACTAATAACTTCTTTTACAATCTCTCATCACCGTTGTTAACCACAAGCTAAGTGGAGCCATTCTACTCTGTAAAGTAGTAGTACCCTAACAAATTATAAACATCTTCAATATGGTCGAGAGAGGGTGGTAAAATGAGTAGGAGATGCAGTAAGATGAGATATTTCTTTTGGTTGACGAGTTTCGACAATTTTGGTAAAAACGTGCGAAGATTGCAGTGGAATCGAAGTATGAAAGACCAAAAAGGAGCTGTCCTGTCGTCGCAGTTACTGAACTTTGGCTGTAAAGATTTTATGATGACATGGATTAAGACCTGAGTGAGCGGTTATGAATGCTTAAAAGTTTTTCAGCTATCGGATGACTCACATAATCCAGGCTGTCGGAACATCATTCACTGCATCAAACACGTAGCATTTCGGCAAAGGTGTCGAGCCAACAGCGTTTTTCTAGCAGTCTGTTCGGACAAATGCGCAGATGTAGAAGTAAATAGTAGTAGAAAAAGCCACACTAACAGAGGATAAAAAAGTTCGGAATAGATCTGACACATTGACAACAATAACAGGCGATTATTGCTATGTAGAGGCAGACATCGAGATGCTTTAAGTTTCAAATTCTCTTGAAAATATCTATTTGTGTATATGAAGCAAATGTGGGTTTTGGCGGAAAGATTATACTCATGTCAGATTCCGTTCTCTTGTCGTACTGCTTGACACTGAAATATTTAAATCTAAAATCCTTTCACTTTGACAAATGAAGCTAGCTCCGCCTCCGATTTGTGGTGCTCGTAAAAATATTATATTTTTTCAGCAAACGGCGGCGCCTACAGTTTTTTTAAGCCTTCGACCCCCGAACTATTGATGGATTTTTATGGGAGGCTTTGATTTACATGACAAAGTGGCAAGTGACTTTCCCTCTCGAGGGGTAACCGTTTTTAATTTTTATTGTTTGCAATTCCATAACCGTCAATACGTTAATAGGAACTGATAAGCACTGGTTTTGTTGTTGTAGCCATCTGCGGAAGCGACAGCTCTTGGGCGGATTAAAATATGGATCGTTCCGGTATAAGAAGCAGGCTTCTGTGGAAAATTTTGGAGTTTAGTTGCCGTTTACGCCAGAACTGCCTTACTGCGAGAAAATTCAGCCATATTGAAGTGCCAAAACATA